GTTGCCTCCCTTCCTGCCCTCTTCCCAGCCCCTCTCCATCCCCTCCCATTCTCTTCCCTGCTAATAGCTAGTTTGTCTTAGCACTTAATAACCTGCCTTTTGGCATTATTTATTGTCTGCTCACTCCTTGTGTGGGACACTGGGGGTGGGCTGGGGGTGGGGGTGCTGATGTTTAACTGAGATATCTCCAGTCAAATAAAATACTTGTCACATAGTTGATGCTCAATACAAATGTATGGACAGAAGGAATACATGTTTTTCACCTGTAGGTGAGCTGTAATGGATTAAACAGCCCCTGTTGGTGGACATTTAGTTTGTTTTTTGTTCTCCCCACAGTCTGGGTGATGCTGTATATTGAATAGTCTTAGAGATTCCTTTCTTTCTTTTAACAGTTTTTTTTTTTACTTTTTTTATTTTAACAGTTTTATCCGCATATAATTCAGTTGTCATACAATTCAGGAGTTCAGTCATATTAAAAAGAGCCGTGCAGTCATCTCCACAATCAATTTTAGAACATGTGCTTTCTTTCTTGTCCTCATTGTTCAAAGCTCCCCAAACCTCTGCCACACCTCCCCAAGAAATGTCTTTGTACCCTTGTGTGATGATTTCTAGGCTGAAACCTTAGGGTGGAGTTGTGAGTTTGAAGGATATAAGAAGAAAAGCAAAGTACAACTCACTCAATTAGACGTGATTTTCAGATAAAAAAGGAATGATGTTCCATTTAAGCATGCAGTGTTTGACTAGGAGCCCCGGGGCACGGAGGTTGTGTGTCAGGTTGCTCGCTGCAAGCGTGCAATGTTGAGACAGACTCACACTGAACACTTTGCATTACTTATCTGAAAAATAAAACGTGCACATCTTTAAAAATTTGATGACTTGCCTCCCACCCTCCAGGAAAGAAAGGCTATTGATTTACAATCCCACTCGCAGGGAAGGAGGGCAGTTCATTAGCTGTAATCTTCCCTCCTGCTTTGACCACCCCCAATTCGTAAGAACAGGATTTCATCCGAATTAGAATTTCCTCCTTTGTGAGTAAAGCGGAGCACCGGTTCCTTTATTTCATGTTGCATTTGTTTTTCCGTGTGTCTCTTCTTTTTCCACTGCTTTGCGTGGGGATGACCTGGCCAAAGCATCTTGGTTTACTTTGATACATTTCCTTTATGGAGGCTGCAACCAGATATAACCCCAGAGAACAGTTTACATCTGGGCCACAGCTATTCTGTGTCTAGAAAGTTTCTAGCCCTGGTGGTAGCATCTTCCATCTCTTGTTCTTGCTTGTTTTTTGCTCTTGTTTTGTTTTTTAATAGTAGGCTTTTTATAAAATTTAATTTATTTTTTAATTAATCATTCTATTGGGGGGCTCTTACAAATCTTATAACAACCCATCATTCACTTGTATTAAGCACACTTGTACATATGCTGCCATCAACATTTCCAAACCATTTTCTTTCTGCTTGAGCCCTTGGTATCAACTACACTTTTTTCTCCCTCCCTCCATTACCTCCACCCAGTAGGTTTTATTTTCAGTTCAATTTTAGGTTCACAGAAAGTATAGAGAACCAATATTGTTATTAGTCACTCAAGTCCTCACTTTATGTTGAGGGATTATTACTCTTTGTCCCGTTTTATTTGTTTACAAATGAAAGACCATCTTGCAAGGACACAGCAGATGTTAGCTCTCTTCGAGGCCCTGTGTGCAGCCCTTTAAGCCTCGAGTAATAGCAGTTTGTGTCTGTACAAAGGAGTTGAGGCATGGTGAAGTGAAATGACACAGATAGTATGGGGCAAAGCCAGTGTTTTGAACCCAAGTAGGGCAGCTTCAGGGCGTGTCCTGCCAACCAGTAAGCTCTCTCCCCTCCAGAATGAATAACAGCTTATGTTGCCCATTCTCTCCTTTCTATGGAGTCTGCTATTTGTATGTCCGCTCCCCATTCAGAAAACTGACAATGGTTACTCAAGGGGAAAGGATCTGGGTATAAGTTTGGGGGTTCAGTGATTATGCATTGGGCTGCTAACTTCCAGGTCAGCTGTTTGAAATCACCAAAAAGGCAGAGCTCTCTACCCCTTAAAGAGATACAGTCTCAGAAACTCATAGGGGTAATTCTACCCCAGCCTGCAGGGGAGCTAGGAGTCAGCATCAACTCCATGGCAGTGAGTTTTTCGTTTTTGTCTCATTTTAATAAACCTGATTCTGTTACATGGTTTAGAATTGAATTAGTACTCATATGTTGAAAAGTTTTACACCCACTCTTCTTCTCTCACCTATTTTACTTGGCCTGCCCTCCACTCCTGTTCATTTCTATGGACTACAGTTTGGCCTGCCAATCTCAAGGTCAGCAGTTCAAACCCACTAACTAATGCAATGGAAAAAGCTGAGGCTTTACAGCCTCAGAAACCCCAAGAGCAGCTCTACTCTGTCCTATAAGGTCACTATGAGTCAGAACCGACTCAATGGCTGTGAGGGGGTGCTTTTTGCGTGTTCTGCCTCTCTTTCTGTATGTACTTGCAAACTAAGGGGATAATCACACACACACATCCCCCTTTTTGTTATGCTTACGCAAAGGTAGTGTGTTGTGTAAGGAGCCCTGGTGGTACAATGGGCAAAGGCACGGCCGCTAATTGCACGGTTGGGAGTTTGAACTCATCCAGGGTCTCTGCAGGAGAAAGCCGTGAAGATCTCCTGTCTGGAGTCCAGCCTGGAACACTCGCTGGGCCCCGGGTTTCTGTGAGCCCAAATCTCAGCAGCAGCAGCATATTCTATGCACCACCCACACCTTCTGTTTGTCACTTAACTCGCCCTCAAGTTTCTAGACCATTTTATTCGGTATTTGAGTGCCTCTCTATACCAAGGACTGTGTTGCCTTTGGTGAGAATATCAAGAAGTGTGCGTCACAAAAATCCCTGGCCTCGGAGTCAACGGCCCAGCTCTTCAGCCTGAGAACACAGACTGTGGTGTTTAATGACGTGCTTGGTTAGCTCGAGCTTCATCCCAGAGACCTCCAACCTGCTGAGGGTGGTCAACACTGACAGAGCTACTGAATTCTAGGTCTCTTGAACATGAGAACTGTCGGATTTATCTTAATATCCTTTTCAGAACCTTACGATTTGAACAGATGAATGGAGACCTATTTAAGTGTAGGAAACCCATATCTTATGAACCCAAAGGGAAGATTTTTAGAATCACCTTGATTTTAGGATTCATCCTTATCTGAGAGGGCTGGTACTTGGTTGGGATCCTTGGGTGGCATAAATTGGTAATGCTTTTGACTGCTAACCAGTAAGTCCAATGGAATAAAATTTCCAAATGCCTTACATAGAGCTGAAGGACAAGGGCTCATTGATAGAGGTTTGCTTGGGGGTAGGGGTTCAATCCTTCCTCTAACTCAGGATTTTTCCTACAGTTACTCGTACCCCCTGAATAGAAAAATGGAAGAGAACCCATTTATCCCAATTACAGTGGAATACTTTCAGTCGCAGGCAAGCTACCCTCAACACACTTCTTTTTGGTCTCATTTCTTACAAGGTACTCTATCAAAAGACATCTTGGTTCAGAATTCCTCCACCAGTCCTGGAAATTCCAGGAGCCGTGTGTAGGCCAGGGCAGTGCATTGGTTAAAAGCGGAGGCTGGAGCTAGCCCACCAGGGTGGCGATTCTGAGTCAGTCACTTTCTAGCTGTGACAAGTTACTGAACTCCCCACTGTCCTTATGTTGGTGTTAAATGCTAGAGGTGTATGAATTGATTGCCGTTATTGCCCCTGCTAGGCTCTCTGGCTGAGGTCAACAGCTGAAAGGGGAAATCTAGCGTCTTGCATCTCTGTAGTATGCTCTGGGTGGTCCAGACGGTTAGTGCTCTTGCCTGGTAGCCGAACACCTGCTGGGTTGAGGTCACACATAGGCACCAGGGAAGAACACAGGCAGGCTGCTTCCGACAAATTGGACTTTGAAAGCCCAGGGGCACAGTCTCTGCCGCCACACGGTGAGGGGAGCGTCATTGGAACTGGCATGATGGCGGGCAACTGCTCTGGTCTTTTTGTTGGACTTGCTTCTTTGCGAACTGTTCATCAAAGGGGACAACACTTATTACATGTGTCATTTGCATAAATTACACACGTGACACATGGGTGAGCTGAGCATCTCGTGGCTTGGTAGGATGGAAGGAATATGCTTCTCGGAAAGAGAATGAACCTCAGAGGAAAATAAACAAACAAAACACCAGGGTTTTAAAGCTCACACAAGTAGCCCATCCCCAATCACCCCAATCGAATACTTTTCCAGGACAGCCGCCCCAAACGTGTGAGAGATGGAGCCCCTCTCTGATGACACTGAGGGGCAGGAGCTACACTGGCTCCAGGAGCACAGGAGTTGGCTAGAAGGATAACAGGAGAGATGTTGTCTGATGTGCGGCCCTCAAACACAAACTTGCCACACAAGTGTGTCTCCATTGTAAAATAAAGGGTCGTACAGGAGCAGGGGTGTTGTGCTTGCCCTCTGCACCTGGCTGCCAGGCTGTGCTCTGAAGATGGCTGTGTGACAGCCTCTTTCCTTGGGAAACGTGTTCCTGTCCAAAGTTCAGTCTTTCGTCCACGCGGAATCAAGTCTGACCCGGAGCCCCCTAGACATGCTTTCCGAGGCTGTCAGTTTTGGAGGGAGCAGGTAGCCTCATCTTTCTCTTGAAGAGTGGCTGGTGGGTTTGAAAGGCCATCTTGTGGTTGCTACGTTTGTGGAGGTACATTTGGGGCTCAGGAGAGGCTTGGGTTTTTTTAGTAGGAGTCCAGTGCATTCTGTTGCACACCTGACTTGCGTGTGCAAACATACACCCAGTTGTCAGTTACAGGGGTGTGGGGATGGGTGGAGATGTGGCCTGTCCAGTGGGCCTGAGCTCCAGTCATGTACCTCTGGGCAACCCTTTATCAGAGGCTGCAGACAAAGGGAGTGGCCTTCCTTAGGGAGGTTTGGGGCATGTTCTTAGCATCATAATCACTCTGATCTGTTTTCTTAGACTCTTTATTGAGAAACTTCCAAAGCATCGGGATTACAAGTCAGCCATCATTCCTGAGAAGAAAGACATGTTAAAGGTGAGCCCTCACTTTGGTGTGGCCCATCTAAGCGCTTCAGAGCCACGCAGACCCGGTGAACGTAGACGCTCGTCTCTACGATTCAGCATCACATCTTGCAGTGCGTGATGTGTACAGGGACTTCTAAGAACAATGGAATTAAAAGATGAAGGAATTTTTCCATGATTTTTTTTGGGGGGCGGGGCACTTACCTCTAGCTGTGTGTGTCTCCCCATTCTCCCTCCAGCCCCCAGTAATCACAAATCAGCAACAGTAGTATAAATCATTTGAAACATTGTCAACATTAGCAACGTAGGTGATATATACTACTTAACTGGCTGCTACTCTTCTCTTTCTCAGTATTTCGTTTTGTATTATTTTGTGTTGTATCTCAGAAATTGAAGGAGATTGTGTTTCCCAAAGCAGAAGAGCTGAAGGCCGAGTTGTTAAAACGATATACCAAAGAATACCGAGACTACCATGAAGAGAAGGTCAGTGTGTGCCAGCAAAGAGAGAACCGGGGGCCTGGATGTCTAGGGCCTGCCCTTAGATGTTGCTGCAGATGTTACTGCTGCTTTTTGATGACGGTCAGAAACCTCAAAAGATAAATCCATAACACCCAAGAGGTTTCGACTAAAGACTGTCACACAGATTGAATGTCCATGTCCAGGAAGGTGGTGTGAGGGTTGGCAAATCTGTTGTTTCTCTCCTCCGTCTAGAGCAGTGCTTCTCAACCTGTCCAATGACCCTTTTGCAGGGATTGCCAATTCATAACAGTAGCAAAACGACAGCGATGAAGTAGCAACGAAAATAATTTTATGGTTGAGGGATCATCACAACATGAGGAACTGTATTAAAGGGTCGCAACATTAGGAAGGTTGAGAACCACTGATCTAGAGTCAGAACCCTGGAAATTCTTACCAAAACAGGTTTTATATCAGAGGATTTGAGGGTTTTGATTCACATCTGGTTATACCTGAAGCTGCTTCGAGCCATTGAGAATGGCCGCTGTTGGGAAGAGTGCAGAGCGAGAGCACGTGGAGAAGCCCCAGGGCGCGCTCAGTGGGCGTGCGTCAGCTGTAAAGGCGTTCCGAAGGGCCTTACAGGTGATTTTGTAGCTGCCCGCTGAGCCCTGTCTGGACTCCGACATGGGCATCAGCAGGAAGTGATCAGTGAGGAAGCATGTACTTCTAAGGCATCCAGTGAATGGAAATCTAATAAAGAAGGTGGTGGTGCGATAGTTCTTGTTCTCTGTGAAACCTCACTCTATAGTGAAATCAGGACCAGGAGAAAAAAATAAAACTCAGCAAAGACCCTCAGTGTAGTGGATACAGGCTTCGGTTTCGTTCCAGTTACAGCCTTATTTGGGATAGGGAATAGCTACGTGCCACAGTTAGCCTATGAAAGTGCACATGATACAGACTCGGTTGCATTGAGAGTTCAGTGAAGAAGAAACTGTTGGTCAGAGTCATTGGAGAAGGGGACTGGGGCTTTAACTGTGCTTTAAGAGCAGACACGCTGTGTCTTGACAGGGAGGAGCGGGAGCGTATTCCGCAAGAGTGTAGAGGCACTGAGGGAAGCATGAGGCCTGCTTTGGGAGATCAGAGCAGAAATACACTTTGGAAATCTCTGTGCTGAAAAGCTGCCTTCCCCTGAGGTGTTCAGTCAGTGTTAACCTAAATCCTTTCTTTCTTTCTTTTTTTCTCTGTAGAAGAAGGAAGCAGAGGAGCTTGCCCAGAGCCTGGCCATGCAGCAGCAGCTGGAGAAGGAAAGGCAGAGGGTCGCACAGCAGAAGCAGCAGCAGTTGGAACAGGAACAGTTCCATGCCTTTGAGGAGATGATCCGGAACCAGGAGCTAGAGAAAGAACGGATGAAAATCGTACAGGAGTTTGGAAAGGTGGACTCTGGTCTCAGTGGCCCACTGGTGCCTGGCGTGGACAAACCCTCCATAGATGTGTTCCCCATCACGCCTGCCTCATCCACGCAGTCTCCCGACTGCAATACAAGTGTCGAGCCAGCTAAGCCACCTGTGGTGGACAGGTCCTTGAAACCCGGGACACTGAGCAACTCAGAAAGTAGTGAGTCTGCTTGTTGGGGTCTTCTTCCAGCTCAGTAGCCACTGGAGAGGCATCCTGGGGGGTTACGCCTGAGATCATGCATTAACTCTGAGCATGGAAACCCATGCCCTAGCACATGGCTCTCTCATATATAATACAGAGCCACTAGGAGAAGGTGCTTTTGCTCAAATCTTAGGCTCTATGTGGAGTTAATGTCCTTGAGAGTTAGACCCTCCACTTTAAAGAGCTACACAGAGTTTTGAAATGCTGTCAACTGAAGTCTTGCAAATAGCTTCCTGTCCTCCCACCCTACCCCACCCCACCGCCCAAAAAAATCTATTCTAATGATCAAGGGATACTGCTAGAGGGTCATTTGAAATTTACAGTGCCACTTTGCAATTCAGCTACTGACTTTTCCAAAATAAGGGTACTGAATGTGAAGTGTGCTTGCCCTGACTCACCAGCTAGCTACTCTGTAAGTGAAAGATGAGGCTCGCTGGTTTCTTAAGTTTATAGTCACATAAAATCTAGAAAGGATCACACAGTGAGTTGGAGTCCACTGGGCTTTCTTTGTTTTGCGTTGGAAACCATTAGTAACCATTAAGGAACATAGTAAAGGTAAACACTAAACATCAGTGTTACGTTTCCCAAAGTGGGCAAGACCACCCCTCCTGAGAAGCTCTGGCATGGCCTGGGGCGAAGTGGGGCACTGCAAAAGCAGAGTCTACACTTGATCCTGGATGAGGTCTATAGTCGATAGGTTTGTAATTATCAGGAGCCATGGTATAAGTGTTTTTAGTTGGTTGGTTTTGTTTTCGGTTGGTTTTGTTTTTTTCAGAAAGGGGTGGTAAGCCAAATGAGTTTGGGGACCTAAGCTATCTATGGCCAGTGATAGTTCAACCTAGCCATCAACCCATGGACAGTTTTCCTGCTTCTCACCAATAATTGGTTAGTTGAGAAAATAACAATAGGTAAATGATAAGTATACCTTGATCATTAGACTAGGGTTTGGGGGAGGGTAGAAGGATAGGAACCTACTCAAGTAATGGTTGGAGGAAGTCCCCTTTGCCATGGAAAAGCCTAATGTAGGAATGGGAAAGGGTTCGGGAACCTGGCCTTGGGGCTTTACTGATTTACATGGCAGATTTTTTTTCTTCCTGCTGAGTTTTCTTTTTTTTTTTTTTTAAATATTTTATTAGAGGCTCATACAACTCTTATCACAATCCATACACACATCAATTGTGTAAAGCTCATTTGTACATTCATTGCCCCCTGCTGAGTTTTCATGCACGCTCTGTCCAGGCCAAATTGGACTCCGGTGTTCCCAGAGCACCCTCTGGCACTTTGTTAATATCTGCCCTCTCCTAGACTCTCTGTCACTTAATCAGACCTCCCTGCCATTGGCAGTGCTGAGTCAGAGTGACCCTTGAGGGTTTCCGAGACTGTAAATGTTTATGGGAGTAGAAAGCCCGGTCTTTCTCTCATGGAGTTGCTGGTGGTTTTGAACTGCCAACCTTGCAGATCGCAGCCCAATGTGTAACTACTGTATCGGCAGGGCTCCTTGTCTCTACTTAGCCTACCTTTTCTTTGGGGGGTTGGGGGAGGGGAGCGGGGGGAAGAGGTCTCTAGATCCTCCTCCCTTCAATCAGATTGGTTCTCTTCTTAACTCCCAGAGCTCTCTATATCTCTAATGCCATTCAGTTTCTTCACCCGCCGACTGTCTGGTCCTTTGTCTGTAAGTAGATTCTCTGGGTTAGGTCTTGAGGCCTTCACAGGCTGAGAGCGCAGTGTCTGCTTGGTACGCGCGCTGAGTGATTACTGAATTGGAAAGAAAGGTCTGGGCTAAACTTAATGCAGCATCCTCAGACCCCGTGCAGACTACCGAGTGATGACGTGGCTCTTGGCCTGACTCTGACCCCGCTCCAGAGCATTCCTCGTCACTGTGTGTTTTAATGTGAAAATGGGCCTGGGAAATATGTCCCCTCTCCCCCAGTGTAGCTGTCTGGCTCTCAGAGATTCTTGGTGCTATTTCGTGAGTAGAGTCCATACTGGGAGTTCTAAGGCCGGTTGTATGAGCTGTTTTGTTGCAGATCATGCCCTCCCCCCCATTTAAAACCAGGCTGTGTTTTTGTTGTGGTTGTCTTGTCTTCTTGGCATTTTCACTCTCTTCTAAATGGCCAAGCTCAAAAGTAAGTATGAAGGGTCTGCCAAAAGTTTATGGGAAAATGGAATTAAAAAATAAGAATAAAAAATATACCCTTTATATCTCAAAATAAGCTCCTCAAAGTCAGGGCTCTTGTACGTAGTGATACTAGCCATTTAGTCATCATGGATGGAACTGGTGGTCTTGGGAATGTAACCGCTATTAACTGATGAAAAATGGGTGCCCTTTAAATATTAAGCTTAAGAAACAAGTTAGAAGGAGCCAAATCAGGATTGCCCATGGGTGCCTGGTGATGTCCCCTCGAATCCCTCACAGAGCTGCTCTTGTTTGATGAGGGAATGAGGCGGAGGAAGTGAGAAAGACTCTCTGCTGACGCTCTCCCAGGTGTTTTTCTGCTAAAGCTCTGGCTCACTTTCTCAACACACACTCACACAAAGCAGACGTTACTGCTCCTTGGCCCTCCAGAAAGCCATACAACTAGCCATGGCCTCTTCTCTACCTGCTTTTGCCGTGACTGAAACACTCCACTTCCTGGTAGCCATTGCTTTGTGCTCCGTGTCCAGGATTCTACTGGTAAAGCCATGTTTCATCGCCTGTGATAACTCTTCCACAAAGCACTCTAGGATCTTGAACCCACTTGTTTAACATTTCCATTGAAGACTCTGCTCATGTCTGCAGCTGATCTGCACACCCATTGAACAGAAATCTGTTCAACTTTAATTTTTCAGTCAGAATTGTATAAGCTGAACCAATTGAGATGTCGGCAGTGTTGGCCTTTTTGTCAGCTCTTAGTTGATTCTCTTCAATTAGGGGCTGAGCAACATTAATTTTTTTGTCTGTTGTGGTAAACTTCATCTTCACCGTTACCTCTTTCTTTTCGAGAACTAGTTAGCCACTTGCAAACTGCTGGTTTGGGCAGAATTCATGTTGCTCAGTTAGTGGCTCTTTGCAAAGTTCTAATGTATGTCTTGTCCTTCTAACAAGGTTGTTCAAATTTATTTTGGTGCAAAAGGATTTTAAGAACCTTACATCGTTTTCTCTGAATATGCATTTTCCATGACCTTTTTAACAACCCCGTGAATTTACCTACGTTATCAGTGATATACCCTGGTGTGTTTCTTTGAAAGTCACACAAATATAATCTGAGGTAAAAGATTTTTTTAATTCATTTGAAAGGAGAGGTTTTTTTGTTTAACCCTCTGTATGAGATTTCTGGCAGAGAATTTCTGAATATTACAGTGTTACAGGGATTTTTTTTTTAAGGAGTAGTTTCAGCTTCCTTAACCGGGATGATGAAAGCCTACTTTTTGCTGTGAAGTAATGGACCCCCAGTGGCTGTGGTCAGAGGTTGAAGAAAAGTCCACAGCTCCCTTTCCTTGTGTCCCTTGGCCAGGTCCTCCCACACCGCCTGAAGTGGAGGGGCCGGCAGTGCTCTGCTGGGTGCCAGCTCTGAGGTCTCAGACTCTCCCCTCTCTCTGTTGCAGCGCCTACAATTGATGGACTGCGCCACATGGTGGTGCCTGGCAGACTCTGTCCACAGTTTCTCCAGCTAGCCAGTGCCAACACTGCCCGGGGAGTAGAGACATGCGGAATTCTCTGTGGAAAACTGGTAAAACCAAACTCCTCCCTGACCTGAGAATGTTCCTTCCCCCTTGGCCTCTTCCAACTCTCAGATCAGACAGCCAGGGTCAGGTACTCTGCTCTGCTCCTCCTACTGATTGGCCCATGGCTAATGGTGACCCAGGGTTCGATACAGATACTGGTACAGGGCAGCAGGTCATTCATGTTTGTTAACAACTTACCAGCTGCTTCTTGGGAGAAGAGAAGAGAGCGAGAGCGGCCTTTCTGCTCCTGTGAAGACTGACAGCCTCGGAAGCCCACAGGGCACTTCTCCCTTGTCCTATGGGACCACCGTGAGTCAGAATTGACACAACAGCTGCTGTTGGTTTTTAATTTGATCGACTGTTCAGAATCTCATGAATGAAACTAATGGTTTTAATACTAGTAGTGTGAAGCAGATTCAGTGAATACCTGATTGTCATTTTCTGGACACCTGCTCGGTCATGGTGGTAGGTTATTAAGAGAGGGAGATAGAGGATAAGATAAACAGACTGGCGAACTGTATGCACAATACGCACACTAGAAGTTGAGAGGAAGGAAGGAGCTGACCGGAGGCACTTGGTCTATGAAGGATCCCTAGTGGTACAGCAGTTAAAGACTCAGCTGCCAACCAGAGGTCAGTAGTTCACACCCAGCAGCCACTCCACTGGCTGGGGAAAGCTGGGGCAGTCTGCTCCAGTAAAACTGACAACCTGGGAAAGCCTGTGGGACGGTTCTCCTCTGTCCGAGGGCCGCCGTGAATTGAAATTGACCTGGTGGCACGAACTTAAACTTCGGTTTGGGTAGAGGGTCTCTTACTAATTGCCAAATGAATGAGGGAGTGAGGTGGGATGGTCGTAAACGGAGCCTTGAAGGTCGAAAAGGGCCTGGAGAGAGGGTGTCCAAGGAACAAGACTTGACCTGGGAGCAAAGGGGGAGAAGAGTGCCGTGGCTGCAGCTGCCCAGACCCCGGAGTAGGCCCCCGGGGCTGCCACAGAAAACTCCCACGGGGCAGTGGTGCATGAGCCAGGCTGAGCCCCAGATGGAGGTCCGGGTAGGGCTCGGCTTCAGTCTCTCTAAAGTTTGTGAGCAAGGGCCTCAAGCTGTCTGGAGGGGCTGTCTCTGCTGTCGAACCGCAGTTCCCATGGTAGGGACACCGTGGGTTGTGTAAGTGCCGTGGAACTGTGATGAGCTGTTTTCTCCTTCGGCAGATGAGGAACGAATTTACCATCACCCATGTTCTCATCCCCAAGCAAAGTGCTGGGTCTGATTATTGCAACACCGAGAACGAAGAAGAGCTCTTCCTAATCCAGGACCAGCAGGGGCTCATCACACTGGGCTGGATTCACGTAAGCAATCCCAGCACTCAGGCTCAGTCCCCGCTTTACTCAGGGCGTTTGTAAACACACAGTCTTCTCTTCGAGCAGAGTGAATTGCATTCAGATTGTTTTCCCCACCTTTGGATTCAGTCCTTAGTGTTCGCCAATGTTTACTTCTGGGAACTACGTCGGGCTTTCAGAATCAATAAATCAACGAGTTCTCCCGAAGTGCCGGTCTCCCTGTGAGTGCCAATGGTGATAGGACATTGGCCTGGAATGTGTGTGGACGTGGGCCAGAGGGCTGTGTCTACTTTGCACATGGGTTGTTCCTAAAGGGCAGAAAAATCAGAAGAGTTTAAGTTAACCCAGGAAGCTATTTCAGCCATTCTTAGAGTCGCACACGCTCTGTGGCCACACGTCTGAGGGTGGCGTTCAGGTGAATTATGATCCCTCCTCTAAGGATTCTTGCTTCATCTCCTTTCTGTTTCTCTGCAACCGCTTAACTCTCACAAAGCAAGTTGTTTTGGGAGTTTTTTTCCTTTTTCTTTATTTTATTATTATTATACTTAACAGTTTTATTAGCAGTTCATCCATATGCTATGCAACTCAGTAATTCAAGTCTATCAAGAAGAGTTGTACAACTGCCACCGTGTTCAACTCTAGAACTTTTTCTTCTCCCTTGCTCTCAGTGTTCTTCCCAAGCCGGTGTTCATGTGACATGACAGCATTGCCTACAAGCGAGTTGGCCTTGCTCATGGATGTGGGAGGATGAAGAGTTCTTGTGGGTGTTTCCCATGATCTGGAAAACCCTGAGCTGTGTGGCACTTGCATGTGCCTTCAGTTCTGCCTTCTCTATCGCATGTCCTCCGTTGTTGTCTGAGGGAACAGAAACGTGCTGCTACCTGACGGGACATAAACGGGAGTCAAGTGTGCTTGTTAGTGTCACACCGGCTTGGAGATGAAGAGACGAATTCTTCCGTGTGGAGGCACACGTGCCGTGCCGCAAGAGGTGGCAATCAAGTACTTGGAATTCAAAATGGGAGGAGGGTCTTACTGTGTTTTTAGGGAAGTCTAGAAATGTTCTATGAAGGAAATGATTATTTAGATAGCTCTTAAAAGGTAGGTGAGGATTTGACAAGTAGTGCTGGGCCAGAGAGAATTGTATGTATTGGGTACAACACAGGAGCCCAGTAGGTTTTGTTTCTTGCTCTGTGAGTGAGTGGACCGGGGTGCTGGGGTGCTGGTGTGTGAGGAAGCAGGGATAGGTACGTTTTCACAAAACCCAGGGAAGCTATGCTGTGGAGGGTCTTGAATGGGTAGACACAATGTGCAGAGAGATTTGTGGAAGTAGATACCCCTGACAGGTTCTGAGCAGGGCAATCTTATGCTCAGAGCCCCCCTTTAGAAAATGTAATATAAACTAGATTAGGGCAGGGGTAGCTTTCACATTGAAACTTTAATATAAGGTAGATCGGGGTAGAGGACTCCTTTGACATAGGCGATTAGGGAGAATGTTTGCAGCACTTAAAATTAAGCATGAGGTAGAGTTGGGCAGGGCCATGACTTGTAACCACCTCCAGTAATAATTAGAGCTCGAGGGTGGTGACAGTGCTTGGGGGAAGGAGAAGATGAGTGTTGGAGCGAATTGCCAGAAGGTGGGATGAGTCAGGGAGGAGTCAGTGCCGAGTCAGAAATGTCAGGCCTGTGGGCCGTGGAAGCCTCCAGGCAGAGGCCCGTTCTGAGCTGGGCAAATTGAGGGGACTGCTGAGGCATCTCCTTGCCAGGGGCAGTTATGAGACTGTTGGAAAAGTGAGAGTAGACCATGGGGCAAGGTTAAGGCAGGAGTGAGCTACCTGGGGGTTGCCTGCAGAGCTGACCTTTGAAGCCTGGAGAGGAAGTAAGAGTGTCGAGCAAGAAGAGACCCACAGGCAGCTTGGCGTTTGTTTAGGCTTCACAAGGAAACAGAGCAGTGAGACGTGAGGGGACGGGTAGGAGTGAGGCACAGAAGCCAGAGGAGGAGGAGGAAGGCTTTAAAAATTCATTCAGGATGTTGCCCCGTCACCTGCTGCCGAGAGCACCGGGACGTGAAGACTCAGATGCCTTCTCGGCTTTGGTGAGGGCACTGATAACTAAGTGGGTGAGGTGGGAGTAGCACCGGGTGGTAAGAGTCCGTGAGCAATGCGGAGTGCGCTTAGGGCGTGAGTGCACAGTGTTTTGGGAGGAGTTCCCACTCCTCACTCACTGCCCTCAAGTCAGTGCCGGCCCATAGCAGCCCCTCTGGACAGGGGAGAACCGCCCCTGTGAGTTCCCAAGACGAGCTCTTTACAGAAGTAGAAAGCCGTCTCTCCCGCGGAGCAGCTAGTGGTTTCAAACTGCTGACCTTGCAGTTAGCAGGTCCATTTGTAACCATTCCAGCACCAGGGCTCCCTTGGAGGAGCTTAGCTAGAGACGAAGGGGAGGGGGTGAGAGGAGGACAGAGGAACAGTAAGGTCAAGAGAATGATCAACTGTTCTCATTAGTTTTTCAAAACCATTTTATTTTGAAATATAAACTTATATTTAAGAGGGCTTAAACCAAAGCTATATTTTAATAAGTCATTAAACAAAAGCTAGCTGTTCAAAACCACCAGCTACTCCTGGGGGAAAGACGGGCTTTCTATCCCCGTGAAGAGACCGTCTTGGAAACTCACGGGGCAGTTCCGCCCTTTGCTGTAGCCTCACCCCGAGTTGGCATCACCTTGACGGCGCTCAGTTTGGTTTTGGTTTATGCATACCCGTTGCCTAGGTCAGGAAAGGAAACCTGACCCGAAACGTCCCCAGCTCCAAGCCCGCCAAGCCACTCTCCCTCCCCAGTCAAGGCCCCTCTTCTGACTTCTCCTTTCTGGCTTTGCCAAAGTTTCCCTGCTCGCCAAGTGAGGCTCCATCCACAACGCAGTTTAGTTTTGCCTGGTTTTGAACTCTGCAGAATGGAGTTATATAATACATATTCTTTTCTGTCATGCTTCTGTTCAACAACATTTTTTGTACTCGTCCGTGTTGCGTGTGGTCGTGTTGTGTGTGATCGTCTGAGCTTGTTTTTATGCCAAGAAAGCTGGTGGAGATGTAAGAAGGAAGGCGAGGCAGGGCTGTGTGGAGATAGGAAAACATCAACTCAGAAATACAGCATCTTCATCAGCGGGGAAGACTCATTCCTCTTAGGACAGGATTGGAGGAAGAGAGAAAACTAGAGAGAGATTTTTGAGATGAGATGATGTTTGGAGAAGTTGAGCGAACTCATTTTCAGTGATCTTGATCTTAATAATGTTGAAGCCGAGACAGGTCTGGTTGGGGACTGGAGGAGAGACTCTTGATGGCCAACTGAAAATTACGAGCCTCTCCATAGATTTGTGTTGAACTGTGCTTGTTCAGCATATTGGGAAGGAAGCTCATGACGCTGTTTACGAACTGCTGCCAGAGCCCCCTGACTGCAAAGGGCCTTGTACTTGACAAGGCGAGGATGGCCAACTGCTTCAGTGTCTGGCGTTAACCATGCCTCATGGCCGAGGCCTGCCCGGATTCCTCAGTGCCGTGTCTCTGACTTCCTCTCTCCCCAGACTCACCCCACGCAGACGGCCTTTCTCTCCAGTGTTGACCTGCACACGCACTGCTCCTACCAGATGATGCTCCCAGAGTCCATAGCCATCGTCTGCTCGCCCAAGTTCCAGGAGTGAGTACAGGGCTGGCGACATGGGATCTCCGCTCCTGGGGAACAGGTCTCCCCTCTTTGTTCTCCAGAAGAGCTGTGGAGCAGCGGTTCTCCACCTCCCCATGCCACAGCCCTTTCAGACAGGTCCTCATGTGGCGGTGACCCCAACCCTAAAGTTATTGTCATGGCTACTTCTTCACCCTCAAAGGGGTCGCAACCTACAGGTTGAGAACCGCTGCTCTAGAGTGTGGTATTGATTTGCTCTTCTAAGAAGCCTACGTCCTGATCAAACTACCGTGCGTGTCTAACAAGATACCCAAGCAACAGCTGACAGTGTGATTTCCTAAGGAAAATTTCTCAGAAATTTGAAATGCTTGAAGTATCAGGAATTTCAAGACAGAATTTTGAAATCAAATAGATGATCTCAGAGTATTGCTTCTTTGTCATCCCCATCCTGCCCGTCACTGGGAATGAGAGAGGGGGCAGTGGTGAGTCACTCTACCTCCGATGGATTCACCAGAGTGAAGGACCTATGAGCCAGCATCCTGGGCCGATCAGACACCCTGTAAACATTTTATTGATGTGATCCTAGGTCTCAATGATGTGTTACGGCTGCCCATCTGAAATCATGAGCTAGCCTTGCTTGTTACAACATAGTGCCCAGGCTGCCTCCATGCTAGCCCTGTTGAATTCAAAACAAGAAACCAATGTGGGAAAGGGTCTTAGGACTTTGAAGCTGCCGCAAAGTGAGCCTGTCTTCTGGTATCCCTATCTATATGTTTAGGACGAGAGGAGTGCCTTTGCTTGATTCTGGCCCACATTTTCTCATTTCAGAACTGGATTTTTTAAACTAACTGACCATGGACTAGAGGAGATTTCTACCTGTCGCCAGAAAGGATTTCATCCCCACAGCAAAGATCCACCTCTGTTCTGTGTAAGCATCTGTTGGAGGAACTTGGGGCTACGTCCAGCAGGGAGGAGTCTGGGATGTGACGAGGTGCTCCATCCTCTTAGCTATGTAGAAAGTCAGCCTGGGTCACGTATCTGTCCAGATTCCCTAGAGAAGGACACATAGGGGAGGCACTGTGGACAGGAGTGGATTTGAGTCTTAGCTATGCCACTTAGTGAGTGTGTACTTTGATCAGACTACTTAGTCATCCCCGCCCCCAGCCGTTTTCACATCTGTGGAATGAGGATGAAAATCCCAGTACCACACCGGCAGATTTTTGAGAGGATTGAACAGTGTGCCAAAAGCTCCTAGCATGTTAGCTTCTCCATCAGCTTCCATTGCTAAGCCTGCGCTTGAATACGAGCTCTGGATGCAGAGGGAAAATTGACTGCAGATAGGTAGAGCCCAACCTAAACACGGAATGAAGCACCGACCCATGCTTCACGGTGGGTAGCCTTGACAGTGAGAAACCAGACACACGAGCTTACATGTTCTGTCCGTTTCATGTGAAACAGCCGGATTAGGTAAATCCATGAAAGCAGACTAGTGGCTGCCAGGGGCAGGGCAGTGGGGTGATGACATGTTCTGGAGCTGCATCAAGGTGTCGGTTGCAGGCCATTATGAATACACTGAATGGAGAACTTGAAAGTGGTTAGTTTGACATTCAGTGAGTTTTCCCTCAAGTAGAAAAAGTGGTGAGGCAGCGCTGATTATCTGGAGTTCCGCTAGGTGAAAGGGATCTGACCTGTTATGTCAGTTGTGGGAGGGAAGCGTTCTGTGACGGCGTGATTCTGTGTCAGTGGGTGCTCTGGTGGCCTCTCGGATTGGCTGTATTCCCTGCTGGTGGGGGCTGCTGCTGTGAGCCAGTCTCAATTCAGAAAAGAAGCAAATGGAAGTGTAGAAAGGGCTCTCAGAAACTTGTTGCATTAAAGGGACTGGGGTGTTTCGGAGACGACGCCAGCATGGGTGGGGTCCTGACAGCTGACCTCTGGGTAAAAAAGGCACTGGCTGCATCTTACAGGGCCCCACCTTGCAGAATGACCATTTTCAGATCAGTGTAAGGAAGACAGAGCTGGTGTTCTTCTTGTTGGTTTCTAAACAGGCTGGTCTGCTTTGGGATGGAATAAAGTTCCAAGGACCAGAATGTTGGCATAGAATCTGCATGCTCATAAAAGCCTGGCATGACATTTCCCAGGTGTTCACAGACAAAGGCCCCTGGGCCTGCCAAAAACCAGCCTACCAGCCCCCATGGGAGAGTAGATGTGTTTTATTGAGAGAATGACCAAAAGACCACCACAGATCCAGCAGGTCTCTTAAACAAATGTACATTTTACAAGTGACTCTTAACGCGGGCTTCAGAAGGTTCGTATAAAAATGGAATTAGAAGACCAAGGAATTTTTCCATGACCCTTTGAAAACATCCTTGCACACACATTCGAAAATAAAGACGGGGCAGGTGGACAGACCGGTAGGGACCAGGGGGGTATTTCTTTCCAGGCCCCTCTCCAGCACTCTGGGGAATCTGGCTTTCAGACCCGGCACTAATGGCCTACAACGAGCACTGGAAATAAGGGGTGTTAAGAAGTAACTTTGCAGACTCGTGACTTTTCCTTCTTGTCCCATCACAGAACTGCAGCCACGTGACTGTTGTGGACAGAGCGGTGACCATCACAGACCTACGATGAGATTGTGACCCTGGCACTTTCCGAGAACTCCCACCGCATCATGTACTGTAGCCCTGCAATCAAAAACGCCCATGGACCCTGGGCACCTTTTACAGTAGAATAGGAAGCAAGTACCCCTGTGGGAAGGGGACTGATTTTTCTATTTCTGATTTGGGGGTGGAAATCATCGAATATATTTTTCGGCAAGTCTGAGGGAAAAGCATGAATTGCATTAAAAGCCGTTGTCAGCCTGCCTGTCGGTCCGATTTCAAACACTACGTTGAATGGCATCCTCAACGCCCAGCTCTCTTCTCGTGCGCTGTGCCTGTTGGCTAACGTTTTCTCCTCCCCGCCCTCCTCACTCCTCCACCAGCTCGTTTCTCTTTGCCCTCGGGACTGAAGAAGGGCCCCTTTGCAAAGGGGGGAGCCGGAAGAGCAGCTCTTGGGTGGCCGGGGAGTTGGGGCATTACCCTTGGGCTCACGTCGCAGAGGGAAGAGGGGTAACTCGTGCATCTGCCCGGACGCAGAGGCTTGTTAACACCAGAATCATCCTGTCAGGAATGCCTGCCCTTGAGCAAGGTTCCCAGGTGTCATTCCTCTCCAATAAAGTCAGGAGTTCATTTATTTGCGGACGTGAGTGTGTTTGTGCTCGAAAGCGGTGATCCATTGGCCCAGCATCAAAGAAGCAGGCTGAACACAGGCTGGTGGTTTCAGGAAGGGCGGGGCGGGGGAGCAGGGGAGACTGGCCATCTGAGCTGTACTGACACGGAAGGTGTGTCCTCGTCCACTTGAATTATTCAGTGTTCTTTCTCGCCTGCTGCCATCTTCCGGAGGTCTGAAGTCATCTCTGTTCGTCTCAGGTGAGTCACTCCATTCACTTCCATATGCCCTGAAAGCTGGCCGCCCAGGATAAATGTCACTTGTTGAAGGAGCGCCAACTGACACCCCCAATAAACGCATGCACCCCATTGACTGCGTCCCACTAGGCTGCCTTTCCTCTTCCCACCCAGCTCTTCCTCCCAGGAAGGTCTTTGAGGCTGCAGCTGAGCCTGGAAACAAGGGTGGTGCTTGTGACACTTGCGGTGAAGAAAGAGAATAAATAAATGAGGGAGGAGAAGAATGAGGTTTTTCACTATATCAACGTTCTGTTGGCGTGGGGGATCTGTGAATCTATAGAAGGCTTAACTTCTTGAAAGTGTGTGCCCTACATCTGTTTGGTTTTGTTGCTTCAGTTAACGGCCCTTGACCCTTCCCCCAGCAAAGACCCAGCCCTCTAGATGACGTTGAGATTGGTAAGAACCCTCTCTCGGGTCCTTCACGTCCAAGCTATCCGACATTCTGCAGCTGTCTGCTGGGATTGGGACCACGTGGTTTGGACCCGAGAAGAGCCCTCCCTCAGTCCCTTACCTCTCGTCCCTGCTCTCACCCCAGAGGCAGGCAGACGTCCACCTTGCCTCAAACAGTCCTGAAATTGCTGAGTCCTGTGCTAAGACTCCATCTCATAGACTGTGGGCATGTTTCCAGGAGGGACCCGTCCTTGGGAAAGGACATCGTGCTTGGTAAAATGGGCAGGAGCTGGATTGGCTGACCCATGGAACGTTAGTTGAATACTTAGGGGTTGAGGCTTACAGCAGGGTGGTCTGCCTCTATGGACATTTATTGGTAGACCTGAAACTTGGTAACATGTCCTGATTCAAGAACCACCCTGAGCATTTCTCACTGGCATTACAACTTGTTCCTTAATAAACCTTGAGTTTTGTCTGTGAGTTTCTGGGCACACTAACGCAGGGCAAGCTCCAAACCTCTGCCTGGTCTGTCCTGAGGTCAAGAGCCGGGAAACCACAGGAATCATTCCAGATGGTTCCCCGTACCGCGTAAGACCCAGAGCAGCATCAGGACTGGAATAGATCACGTCAGCTCTTTTCCCTGTCACTTCCTCACTGTTATTTGAAGCTTCCACCTTGATTGTTTTTACCATTTTAAAACATTATGTGTTAGTCTGAGTAAACTAGGGAAAGAAATCCACAGAAACTCATATGTATAAGAGAGCTTTATATAAAAGGTTAGTGTACATTCAGAAAGCATCCCAACCCAGTGCTGTCCAAGCCCATATGTCCAACACCATCCACAAAGTCCTCCTCAATCTCAAAACACACACGCAATGACGCTGACTGCAGGAGGAAAGCCAAATCTGAATGTGTAAGCATCTCAGTGCTGGCAGGGGTCTCCACACGGCTGCTCCAGCACCCGGGGCTGCATCGGGGTAGGTCCATGTGGCTTCTCAGAGATGTCCTGCAGGAAGTGAGCCTCGCCAGCTGAAGCAGAGAACTAGCTAAGGCAGCTGTACCCTGGTCCGACCATCACAAAGCAAGAGACCCGAGAACTAGAAAGACAAGGCTCATCGAGCCATGTATCTCTTCAATTCATCCCACGTGTTTATCAGCCAGGTTGACACAATAAACCTCAACTATCTCACATTGACTTTAATTTTTTATTGTGAAGTATACTGGCATAAAAGAAATAATTACCATTTGGGACCATTTTTATGTATACAATTCAGCGACATAAATTATCTTCACCGTGCTGCAAAACCATCACCATCCTGAGATGAAAGAAGAGGAAGAAAAGATTGGTCCTTTTTGTGGTGACTCCTTAATCCAGGGATCGATCTGTCCTTACCTTCGCAGGTAGAATTAGGGCCTTCAGTCTGTAGGCCATGTCCATTCACGGTGATGCCAGTCAGCTCCAGGGCCTGTTGCATAACCAAGACGCTGATGTCCTCTTTGGTGATGAAACCTTTGGTCCTTGAAAAGCTTGTGTTAAGCCTCACCTCTAGTGCCTTCTTCCCCTTGGAGGCTAAGTTCACTCAGAGGGCTTCCTTCTTTGAACTCCAATGGCATTTACAGCGTATTTGATGGCCTATTTCACACCTGCCTGCTATCTTGCAGTCTTATTGTCTTGTGTGGGGCCTACCTAATTCTGTTAGGATAGGGGCATGTTTGCTTTATAATGCTTGGTGAGCACAGGTCAGTCCATATAACAGTTCCTTACTGGTTATGCATTGGGCTGCTAACAGGAAGGCCAGTCGTTCAAAACCACCAGCCACTCTGCATAAAGATGAGGCTTTCTACTCCCATAAAGAGCTACAGCCTTAAAAAAAAGAGTTACAGCCTATATGGACCTGTTCCCTAACCTTGAGAATCTCTCTCTTCCACCTTGAAGGAAACTGTCTTTAACTGTCTCTAATCACATCTTGGGCCTGGGCTCTGCCTCCAGGGTCACCTGATGTTCATTCAAGATCTGCATGTGAGGAGGTGGTGGTTGGGAACTCTCAGCCAAAGAGGTCAGCAGCTGAGTTCTCCCAGCACCGGGGCCGCAGGCAAGCCAGTGGGCAGTTGTAAGAAGTACCTGCTCAGAAGGACTGTAACCATGCGATCCCAGAGACAGGAGCAGACCAGGAGGTGGTGAAGCCACTGACCGGTCACAAAAATGCAGGCTGGCAGTTTTGCTTGCTTATTAAGGAAGGCACAGTTGTGGAAGAAGGGAAAAATCCGTTAAATGCCTCCAATAGGCTTATCTGGTCAAAGGACCAAGGTGAGTCAGTGGGATCTGGCAGTTTGGGTAAGATGACCAGACATCCCGCTTTTGGCGGGACAGTCCCGATTTTTAACAATTTTTCCTGGGTCCCACGCATTTTTTAAAAAGTCCCAATTTTTGTAAAGAATGCACGATAAGCAAGGGTATACGGTTTTCGGCTGCCGTGTGGCTATTTCGCCAGGATATGAGTTTTATCAATGGTGTCCCGCTTTACAATGTTAAAATCTGGTCACCGTAAGTTTGGGGAGACCATCTCTGACAAGCCCATCTAAAGACTTGCAGTGTCATGCCACCGTCTTTGGCTTATGTAGCCCACCCCCGTAAAGTATACACCTTGAAAACAACAACTTTGTCTTATTCACGAGTGTGTCGCAGCCTCCAGGATAAAACCCAAACTCACTGCCATTGAATCTATTCTAATTCTCAGCGACCCTGTAGGACAGGGTAGAACTGCCCCTGCGGGTTTCTGAGACTCATCCTTACAGGAGTAAAAAGCCTTGTCTTCCTTCCAGCCTCATGTCTGATAGTCCAAAACCAAATTCACTGCCACTGAGTCACTGCAGCTCATAGCAACCTCCTATCGGTTTCCGAGATTGTAATGGTTCATGGGGAGCAGAGAGCCGAGGAGCTGCTGGTGGTTTCGAACAGCCGATCATGTGGATCACAGCCCAACGCATAGCCACCACACCACCAGGGCGACAGAGAGTGATAAATGAACAGGCTTGTGCACAGTCACCCAGCAAGTAAGTTGCAAAACTTTTCCTTTTGTTGACAGAACAGTGGATGGCAGACCTTTTGAATGATGCCCCTAGGAGATCGTGCAGTTTAAAATGAACAAGTTACTCTTGAAACGTTGCTAACTTCCTAGGAAGTAAGAGAAGAAAAGCAGATGACAGAGGAAAAACTCTCTTATGAAAGGCTTTTAAAAGCTGGTTGGGAAATTGGCTTTTAATTCCATTGTCTATGAATATTTTGATGCCATCCTTATACATTTAGAGATAAATGATCATGCAATGACACAAATGAATACTTACTTAACTTTCCAACACACTAAAAATATTAAATGCTTTAATCTGAGGTATACTCAAAAGGACACAAATTAATAATTTAGCTCAAATTAGAAAAAGAATAACAAATTATTCTTTGTCATTTGAAAACCAGGAGGAAATAAAGATTAAGATAGAAATTACTATAGGAAAGCAGCCACAATGTCTGGCTGCAATTTCTTTTAAGTATGTACCTAGAAGCCTGATGATAATCACTTCTGGAAAACATTAGCACTAATAAGAGAGTTGAATCGTCCACAGAAGATTGTGTGTGTGTGTGTATTTTAAAATAGTTTCTGGGACAGGTAATAATAGTATCACTCAAAATAATAATAATAATATCACTCACTTTTCAATAACTGAAAGTATAAAATACCTTGGAAGAAAATTAACAGGAAATGAACATGTCTTATGTGAAGATAACTAAGTTTTACAAAGGGATCTGAAGAAAGCTGGTAGAGAAATAGATGTATCATATTCCCTGATGGGGAGACTTAACATTATTCTCTAAATAATTCATGAATTTAAATGCACACCTACTGGTACATGTGATTTTTTTTAATTTGAAAAATATATCATTCTAAATTTTCCTTTTGAATACTTTATCTTGGTGGATGGATGAAACCATCATCCAAAATTGGAAGAAGGATATGGGGGGAATTTCCTTAGCAGATAACTTTTCTTGTAAGCCTATATCACACCCAACCCACTGTCACTGAGTTGATTCTGACTCAGAGAGACCCTCGCTAGGGGCTCAAAAACTTTGCAAATCTTTATAGGAGCTGACAGCTTCCAACTTTCTCCCACTGAGAGGCTGGTGGAGTTGAACCACCAACCTGGCAGTTAGCAGTCCAGCATGCCACCAGGCTCCTATATAAGACATAATAAGTCAAGTTAAAGTAACAGGGTACTGGCTGAAGCTGGATTAAGACTGAGGGCTGGAGGAAGTATGACATAAAGATCTCCCAGCTGCCCAAAGAC